TTACACATCAGGTTAGAATTAGGTATTATTATATTAGGATTGTGATCCTACTAAGTACTTATACGATACAACTTTTTAAGAATTTTATGGTTGTTATAAGGTCGAGGTAAGTTATTCATAGACTTGTCATTTAATTTTGTATCTTGAATGCTCCGACTATATACAATTTGTGATTTATCATTCATTTCGTGTCATCCAAAGTCTCTCCAGCACTCTGAGTGGTATATTAAAAAATCATGAGAAGTCTACCTGGGCTAGTGACTGCTTAGCGTACATGGTAGCAAAATTGGCGGACTCATTTCAGCAGGAATAGAACGTACTTACAACGTATAAAAGTTTGGTTAGGTCACAATCTAAGTAGTTTGAACCTGCTTGGGACTAGATGCATTGTTTAGACATAAAGGTTGTTTTGCAGGGATTATTGACTTGATGATAATAATCATATCTCTCGTCAGCTTCTTCCAATACATTCGTAACCCATTTTCGTAGCTATTAATATGGCCATGCATGCCGTATCCCGATTCCGACTGGACACACAACGCTCGAACAATAATGAGGTAAAACGAATTTTCGTGGAACTTTCTCATTACTCAATGTAGACTCTTATTTGAGAGAAAACATAAACAACCAGCGAGGAATTTCAAACCTTTCTTTACCATTTTCTTACAGTGATTATTGTGTATAATTTTCCTCACCTTAGTCACACCCACAACTATAAAACCCGAACCTCTGTTAGACTGAAGAGCTCATTCCTAGAAATTCAAAAGAGATGAAATCTAGAGTTCTTTTAACAAGCACTTCATTTTACCTGCCAGTCGGGGAACACTATCCTATCCTTACTTGGACACAGTAATCAGTTCAAAAGCCACCAAAGTAATCAGAGAAAATCACGAAACAACGACTTGAACTTTATATCACAACTACATCATAATTAATATATTATTCACTGCCAGTTTCATTTATTATCATTATTTGCAAGACACCATACTAACTTATCTGTTATTCTCTTTTCTCGTCAGGAGTTTGTACATTCCCATCTTCTTGTTGTTTCCATGATCATTTAGTCAACAAATAGACTTATAAGTCGCTGTAACTGACTCCTACTTTGTGTATGGTCCCTTCCACTCTGATTTACAAAATCTTCCGCAATACAAACAATCAGTTGGCTGACCTGTGACGTGATAGGTGATGCTTCTAGCAATCGCACAAGTCCACGAACTTATTCACAAAGCATTAACTTCCAGATAATTGTCAAACTCACTCAGCGTAATGCAATGCAATGGTATACTGGAGTATTCTTAAAACTGCAATTTTCTCAATAACAGCATTTCCTTTCAAATATTTATACTTCCAGTGATCTTATCTGAGTGTATTTAGCTGAAATACTACAATGAATTTGTAGTTGGCATCGAGCCACTGTTGACTATGACCACTGCTACAAGAAAACTTCGTAACAGTTGCTAAGTTAGACCCATCCGAAGGCCAAATATCAGAAGGCAGTTGAAGGTTGTAGTAGTTTACTGAGATAGTCTGTAATTTTTGCTTAAATACATTCGATTGTCCCCAGTCGTGTTTTGTTCACAACATTTGGTGTCGCTGCCAACCAGGAGGAGGAAGGGTGCTGTTCTGTGGACGCCGATGCGGGTCTGGAGTTGAGGCAGTCTGGTGCAGAGAGGTGGCGTCGAGTGGAGTGTTCTGGCGGGGCGGCGTTGGCTGTAGCAGGTGCTGTCGACGGAGAGGAGCAGTGGGACGTGCGGCTGCTGGGCGGACATCGGATGTAGATGGCTCAGCAGGCCGGTGGAGTACGGATTTTGGACGTCCCAGGTGCCGGGTGGATGCGTATGTTGGTGCCCCAGCAAGTCGAGGTCAGCGCGCCGCAGACTCGACATTCTGACGGAGAGTTTGGCACAGACTGCAGTGAAAGAAGATAGTGGCGTGGCGAGCAGAACCACCGCATGAACGAATGCTTTAAACGGGGGACGAGTGTGGTGTGGTCTACTTATATCTATATAAGTAGTATATGGTGTGGGTCAGGCATAGAATGTATTTTGGCAGAAGACCGATGAAGAAAGAACTGAAATGAAACGCAAACGTCTGGAAAATGCATGAGCAATGGAATAAGAGAAGAAACAGTGAAGATTGAAACAATTGGTTGTTAATTTGCAAATTGACTGTTCATTGTTTGGTTATCAGAATTTACTGAGATAGTCTGTAATTTTTGCTTAAATACATTCGATTGTCCCCAACCGGTGTTTTGTTGACTAAAGTATTTCGTATTTGTTGGCGATCTTGTGGTATCGAAAGAATACCGAGATTGTGCCAATATTTTGCAAGTGAGACTACTGAGCGTACAATAGTTCGTGCAAGGTCACAAACAACGGAAAGATATCTTTTTGATGCACTAAAACAAACAGGTACAGTAAAACAATCCCTGATACCGTTGGTTATAGTAATAACTGTTCCGTTATATCAATCGTGTTCTCGTCATAAAAGTAGGTCACTACAGGAGCCCCCATCTAGAATGAGTTTACACGTTTGATACGCAACGGTTTCGTTCGTGGGACTGGCCGGCAAACGTGCGATTGTAGGACGAAAGGATTGACGAAAAGGAAGCGATCGTTGATCCTCCGATTATCACAGAAGGTCTTTTGTGTAGGACGGTACCAGGAGTAACATGCTACATTTGTTGCTTGAGTTAGCGTACCACACCGTAATGGTTCGTATCCAGAATTTGAGGATTGCGCTTGTAGGGATCCGGACCGAAAACGCTTCAGACGAAGGACGGAACCACAGCGAACCAAGAAATCAGAGGTGGCCATAACAGCCAAGTTCGAGACCAAACGTATACCAGACATGTTTGGAGTCAGAACATCAACTAAGTGTGTTGACAAGAGCGTGGATGATCGGACCAGCTTTCGCCAAGGTTGACTGAAGTCGACGGTACAGACGGGACAATGGTGGGAGCCGTGGATTCAGGAATGAAAAATCAGAGAAAAAGAGTAGCATGTATATAGTATAGGAATAGAGTTCAATACCTCATCCGCTGTTGTTTGAGAGGTTAGTCACGAAAGCGTAAGCGTAGGTGTACTCGGCGACCGGAACGTGAGACGGCGGTCCTGTTCATGCCTCTTGAGACTACAATCTCATTTGAAGTCAAGGGCGGCGTCGTCTGCTGATCTAGACGTGAGACTAAAGCCTCGTCCTGTAGATTGTGCACATGACACATGCTGTTGACTGGCTCATGAGAGTGAGGTCTCTTATGTATCTAGCGTAGGATCCGAAGTAGATGTATTGATTCCGCTAGTAGGCTTGATGGGTCTAGCATTGGGTCTCAACTTATCAGGTAGGGCACTGTCTTCGACGTGTGCTAGCTTGAGACGACCAATGCTGACTATCTCATCGCGGCCGAGTCGATCAACCCTGAAGGTCTTTTCATGACGGGAAATCACATGAAAAGGCCCTTTGTAAGGCTGTTGCAAAGGTTTGCGTACCGAATCTATTCGTATAAAAACATATGAACTGGTAGATAACTCTCTCTCTCGAGTGAGACCTGTCGATGTTGTATACGAGTTGACATCGGAGGCAGTGTTCGCATAAATTCAGACAATCGTTGGACGTAGTCTGACTTGCTGAATCTGTTACTGCTCCGTGGTGTGAAAAATTCCCCAGGCAGACGCAACGTCGTGCCGTATACAAGTTCATTGGCGGAACATTGAATATCTGTCTTTAAGCTCGTTCTGATACCTAAGAGGACTACCGGTAGGGTTTCGTACCGATTGTAGTTTTCGTTTGGCGATGAAATCGTTCAACCAAACCATTTGGTGGTGGGTAGTAGGCGGTAGTTCGTATGCGTTCCGTATCAAGCAGCCGGGTCAGCAAGGAGAATAACTTGAACTCAAATTGTTGTCCTCGGTCAGTCATGACGGTCAATGGACAACCGCACAGCGCTATGCATCGTTCTACGAAGCGGTGAACAACTGACGTGATGGGAATAGCTTTGGGCCATTTTGTGAAGCGATCGGTGCATGTGAGTATGTGATCATACCCGTGTAATGGTGGCAACGTAGCTCGACTCGCCTTTTACGTGACGAAGGTCCGTCGTGAACTGAGAGATATAGTCCAAATGTCTGCACTATCGTGGAGAGTAGCGGTCAAACTTGGTATGCAGAGCATACGATAAAGGCTTATGGTCGGAAAATAGTATGAAATTGCGACCATCTACTGGGTGCCGGAAATGTTTGATGGCACAGTAAGCTGCTGGTAGTTCTCGACCAAAAGCGCTTTCAAGAGCTCCTCTTGATTTACTTTACACATAAAAAAAAGAAAATATTTCATTTCAACTTTGGTCAGTGTTGATCTCGACTGTTCCACAGGCATTAAACAGTACATATTTGTTGCACTGGGGCAGTGAAACGAGAGTAACAAGGTGCAATTATTTCCGTCTCATGTGCTAATCGTTAGGGGAACTAATGTACAAAAGGGTTGTCCATTGATCAACGTTACGGAACCTTATATATTAAATAATTAACTACCAAGGAATTATTCACGAGATGAAATCACAAAGTCCACCTTTAATCGGTCTCATGAGCCTCAAAACATATTTGTGGTCAATGTATATATGCGGAGGGACGCAATCAATTGTGACATTTCTTAATCACATCGTAGAAGGGTAGGTTCAGGTGGAATGGTTTAGATTTCGAAGGATGACTATACCTATTCACTAACGCTAGTAGACTATGAGACTTAATTCCAGGATGGCGGGTTTATGTACAGAACTCATGAAACCAAACTAATACTGTTCACACCAGTTGTTGAATATCGATCAATCCTGAGTTTTTTAATCCAGATTTAATTACAAATAATATATTACTATTCATTGTTTTTTGGCATTTTCATCATATTTGATTAGCTGCATCAATTTAATAGGTGCCTGGACCTTTGTTTGAAATTTGAATTGATCATTTTGGTACTGTTTGTGTTGCTGTCATCTGACTCTGCAAATGGCACAGAGGATCTTGGAACCATTCCGAAAGTTGCCCCACCAATTACAAAATCTTGAAATTGTCAAGCGAATACATGATTACACACTTGGGAAACATACCGATAGTTACTCTTGTCACCAGGTGAGTACTTTTTCTAACATTATTTGCGATAGTCTTCTGCTTACGGATGTCCGGAGTCTCCAAGCGCTTTGGCTTTTGACGAATTTCTTGGCTTATTAGCTGTAGGAACAAGTAAAGGATTAGTAAAAATGTAAGTTCAGACGAATTCATCTCACATTCTTAGATATGGCTCACCAGGCATTGTTTTCACTGTCCAACGAGAGGGTTCTCCGGTTATTTCTCTTTTGTTTCTACCAGGTGAAGTAGGTTCTCTTTACACTGATGTCATACATTATAGGGGCGGATTGTTTGCGCTTTCGCTGACGGAACGTTAGATCTTTTTGAATTGGATTCTAGATGTGGACGGTGGGCATCAACTAGCCGAGTCAAGGTTCAGCAAACGTAAGTTTACCAATTGAAATTTTTTTTTCAACAAACGGGGATTTAACTGTTGAGGATATGTTTAATGTTAACTTTATTTGGATGGATTCATGCTTTTCGCCTAACACTTTACTCGAAGACACGACAGTCCAACAAGGTAATGTGCGCAACACAAAAACAGTGAGTGGGTCGCTACTCGTTTTGTCTAAGTACATAGCTTTTTACTCTAGGAATCCACGTTTATTTCGCTTAGTAAGACTTCAAGTCCCAATGATCTGAAGTTTATTTGGACGGCTATTGCTTCACAAAGTTGTTTATGGGGAGCTCATTAGTTTTGTTGGAAGAATTAGGCATTTCGTACAAGCCGATCTCGCAGGGACTCCAAGTCACTTCTTGACATCCGTTTACAACAGTCTGTGCTATTCGCTGAGATGCGATAGTAATTAAAAGACCCTGTCTAAGTTGATTAAATACTCAATCATCATTCTGTCTCACAGTGTCCAGCCTTTAAATAAAATTTAGTAAGATTCGTGTCACTGAAAATACCTCTCATTTTTCCCGCTATTCTAATGGATTATGCCCTACAGTATCTTCACTTAATACATACGAATGTGAAAATGAGTTTCCAGCATGTTTGGTTAACATGTTAGCGAGATGTTAAACCGTATTGAACTTTCCTGACCTGTGTCTGCTGACAGTTGGTCCTAACGGAAACCTATCTTGTCAGGATGTTAATTTGTTAGCTTTATCAGTATAATACTTCCTCTACATTTCGCTGAATATAATTTCGACTAAAAGTTGGGGAAGACGGCATATTAATTTGGCGGTACTATTCACAATCCGATTGTATGGTCTGAAATACATGTTTTCCTGTCGTAAATATGCTTATCGGTTTTCATGTGAATTGCCCTCATATATGCTCAGAATTATCAAGCAAGTTTCTGGCTCATGTTTTTTTATTTGTTTGAGAGCAAATATGTACTTGTGTATGCTGAACGCATTGGTCAATTAATTTGTACTTATTTATATTCGCAGCGGTGAACAGGATCTTGTTACATGTATGTGCCTTGGTCATGGTGTTATTTACATCGGTTCTGCAAACGGTACACTACGTCAAGTTGCGGTTAAGGACGGTCATATGACTCTAGGAGATGATGCACTCACTGCGTGTACAAGTTCAATTATCAGCGATAGGTAATTCCTTCAATGTTTTAATGTAAGGATCTTGGTAACTATTGTTAATTTGCTATAGGCTGACATCCGTGAATACTTTGAGCTTGTAATATTTACATTGACATATCTCTAAGTATAGTTAACTAAATTTATAGTTAGTCAAAACCAGTAGTCTTTAAAGCTTGTTACAGTTTTTCTGTGAAGATTTAAAATTATTCCTTAAGCATATTCTTACCACTAGTGTTACCAGGATTCGTTTTGTGCTGTTTGTTTGGAGATTTTAACGCGACTTTTGCATACGATTACTCCCAGTCAGTTAACCTGGTTCCACTGGGTCAGTTTCTCAATCCCTGGTGTTATTTGTATCCTTGGTCGAGCCAATTCATAAGGTAACACTAGGTTTGAATCCTAACCGATTAGTTGTAAAGGAAATGCTCCCTCTATTACACCGCTTCGAGGATTAATCTTACTCATAACGAAACGTCAGCAACCAACTGATATTAATCTTGATGTAAGTTGACAGTATGTATATCATCGTAATTGTGTAGATAAACATACTTAATCCACCGTCAGTATATATTACCAAAGTGCAGACTTTTGCAGACCAGCAGAATGATTCGTTTTGGTGCACCGTCGTCTGATAGGAATCTAAGGCTATTTGTTATCAACTAATTAGGATCAGGTTTTCTAGCTTGCATCAATAGCTCAGATTTTATTATTTATAGTGTGCTTTCAAACTATTTATTTATTTATTTATTTAAACACATATATATTGGTACAAAAGGGCACCAGGTACATATGCGCCATACTGCTTTCAAACTAGGATTCTTATGATTTGGTATGTTTTGTTTTAGTGTCCCCGTAGACAAGCGAGATCAACTTGGGGTAGACTCTCCGATTATATCCCTTGAATTACAACCTCAAGGCAATCATCTGCTGATTGCATACGCAGGGGGCTGTGTGGCAGTGGCTATTCCTCAGCCTATTCCATTGGAAAGCGTTACACAACTAGCTGCTCCTTCGGATGTTGTCACTGCTCCTACAGCTCAAGGGGAAGTTGTTACCCCAAACGTTGTTGATGAATTGGCCCCAACTATTCCTCAAGAATCTCAGGGCGAAGCAACACCAGGTGATAAAAGTGAAGTAAATGGAGAGAAGTCTCAACCACTTTCAAACGACAGTGCTGTTGAGTCAACTCCCAGTACTCCTGCTAAGGGACATTCGGAGAAGCGATCAACCTTAAAGCTTAAGGCGTTAACACGTAGCTTGAGACCTGATGCGTCTAAAACAGAGGTAAGTTTCTTCAATATTTTGTTTATCTAGATTTCAAGCACGTTTAATTAGTGTCCAAAATTGGATCTAGGCCAGTCTTTTCTAGAATCATTTCTACACACACTCCCATTAGCTGTGATGATTGGGATATGCGCTACGTATTCTCAGCAATTTCCTACCTTAACACGCAATGCTTACTACCGTAAAAGTAGGTCAAAAGAGCACTAGGGACGATCATATCAAGACTAGGCATTAGTCCATGGAGTCCATGATTGTTGGTCTGAGCCATGTAGGTAGGTGTAGACTACCCAGTTGCCGTCTACGTATTAACAGGAATCAATGCTTGGAGAATATGAGTGACATGACTCAGAATCGTTCACAGTGGTGCAGATGCATTCATTCCCTGTCTTTCAACATAAGTTCCGATATCTCTGCATACATGTATTCTCCCTCTGCCTTTCCGAACCATATTCTCATTCATTTGGTATTGTTTACTTAAATCTTCCCATTGATGTTTAGGACTGCTAGCCACTATCCATCTTTGCTCATATTCTCATTGTTTAACCCTTCTTATTATCATTATTACTAGATTATAGTCCAGTCTCTTCGTATTCATCTTATTGTCCTGCTTGTGCTAATGTGGTCGGGCAACTTGTGTCAACATACGTCTGTGCCGGGCTCTACGTCGACGATGTCTGTATGACATGCATGTTCAGTACTTTCAGGCTAAAATATTTTGTCTAAATCAATAATTTTATACATTAAGTTATTCATTGGGGCGATAGTGTTTAGTGTTTGTTGGTGACCTCTAAGAGAGCTTGATGAGCAATAATAAATTCCATTTTAGGGTAGTCGTAATTCGATACCAACGTCTATATTACTTCACTTCATTTTTTGTGGAATATAAAATTCATGCTTTAACCTTGCATATTCTCATTTAATGTGTTTTTAAAAACCCATCAATGCTAAAGATTTAACTTATCTCCGTATTTGCTTCCTGTTACAATACTATATTGTCATTCAATGTGAATGATTTTACTTATTTTTACTTAATTTTTTTACTATTGCAGAAAGAAGTTGAACCATCATTACCTGTACCTCCAGCTCCTCGTATCAGTCATTTACTGCTTCGCGACCAACCGGTTGAATGGGCCTCATGGCGTGTTACATCCGTGGACTCCTTATCTACTGAAGTTGTAGTTGCTTATGGTGATGGTGCATTTCAGGTTTGGCCTATTGTTGCAGCTGTTAGTGATCAACCATTTGAGCCAATCATTGTATCAATGATAGATCCGCCAAACACTCCATATGGTAAGTTTTTTTATAACCAATTATTTAATATAGGAGCTAAGAGTCTACAAGTTCAAAGGCAATGTTAATCATGTCAATCCACATTGTGGCAGGGTTCACGATTAAATGTTTACTGATTAACAAATATGTTATGGCAGTAGGATTTCTCCCTTAGTTTGGGTACATAGTCTGCTGGTTTTCCACTAACCAAGAAGAGAGTAATGGAGGATCATACATAAAATCAATGTACACCTTATCATGCAACTTTTCACTAATGCTTGTATGGTTTTTTAAAAAGTAAGGGAAAATTTTCACCTTCAAGAACAAAGTGACTAGTAACAAGCAAATCCTCAGTCACGTGACATATTCCCCCTTCTCATTCAGATATTCTAATATTTTGATTTCTACAGAAATAGTTCATGACGTATCACACTCACGCAACAATAACGATCTTACCACTTCTGTCTTCATTGTATTCCATCTATAGCACTATCATGTCCACGGTTTGTTAACCGTTACTATCGATTTGAGTATGCTAATTACAACTCATAGTTTTCTGAAAATAAGCCGCACTACGTTTTTTTATGAGGGCTTATGTTGACATCTATCTCAGTTTCTTGTATTTAGTGCTTGGAATTATTCGTAGGTCCATATCACTTTGTACCATTTACAATTTAATGGTCAGAAATGTACTAAGATGTAATTGGTCACACATTTTGTATTTTGGACGGGTCACTTAGTCTTCAGTTGTCTGTTTATCATACTACTGTTTCTCAAGCGCCACACTATAATCTATTTTATACTATTCGTTCATCATGTATTATGTTTAGTCCTTATATTGACGGCTTGATAATACGGTCGATAATTGGAGTCATATACATTTGGCTGAAATCCTTTCCAGTTCGTTAACGGAAGTTGTCTAGTGGAGAGGACATTGTCGACTCTGTGATGACATGATTTTTATGTACTACAGTAATATTTTGCTCCAATAGTTTTAATCAACTGTACCGTCTTATTAACTTCAGAGTCCTTGAATGATTTCATATCAATATTCTGTCTTTTTTCAAAGGTCCTCTACCTTGTGGTGCAATAAAAAAAATATTGATCAGTCCATCTGCAAAGTAAGTTGAGCACTTTTCCGACTTTTTTCCAGTATGTAAGCATTGCAATTTAAGTCATGTTTTTTTATCCCTAGAACGTAAAAACCATAGACTATTAGAATCATGAAAAAATTTTCTTGAATAAAGGTACTTATATAAAATAGAACTGATTCTTATGAACTGTTTATAACAGCTAGTAAAAAGATAAAAGGTGGATATGCTTTTGTTCCAGCAATCCATTTTCCTGGTTTTTATGTCTGATAGCTTCACATAGGTTTCATATCTTCCCAATCGGAAATTAAATTCAATCTGTACGATTTTGTCTTAGCTTCATTTGATTAAGCCTGTATTTTCATCTGATTTGATAACAGTTTTCCGTATTTATACAGGTGTTCGAATTGTGGGTGACCAAACGTTTAATTGTCTAGCCTATGCAAAATGTAAAGCGTTTTGAATTAATTTTCATGATAGTTTTTGATTTCTATTTTCATAGTTTTTCTAACTGAAAAGGATAGATTTTTGCCTCGTTTTGATAACTGTCATGCTAGATGTTTTATGTCTGCTCCGTTCATTTTGCCAGTGATGTAAAGTATCCAAAAGGCCGAAACGGGAGTAATCAGTTGGTTTAGATTATGCATATTCTCCATTTCGCAAATATTGATTTCACTATGAATAGGGCTTAGCTAAGATTCCACGTCGCTCTTGCGTGTTCGATTATAGCCTCTCCTTTGTGTAGCAATGGGGCTTGTATATTGTGGTGACTCAATGGGGCTATGTTGACGGAAACATTTGTTTTTTGGTCTCGCTACTATTCTAGGGAAGTCTACTGGAGAGGCATATTATTAAAAAGCAATGAACTTACTGTCTAAGGGCAAGATCGTACTCGTGAATGTACTGGCGCGTGATGGCGATCAGTTGTTTAACACATGACCGGCATATATAGCAATCTTTGGAAGGAACAAACAATGGAAGGAAGGAGTTATTATTATTATTTGAACACATAAATATTGGTACACAGGAGCACCAGATATATATGCGCCACACAAAAAATGTCGTTTCATTTAATTGTGTGAGGGCTATGATACTGCTCGGGTGCCCAGATCAAAGCAGGTGGTTTTCTTAGGCGGCCACACCCGGAGCCTTTGACCTAAAGGCTTAATCTACGAGACAGTGGAGCATCGTAAGGAGATGCAGTCCCATGGTAGCCGCTGACCAACCATTGGTTTATACGCCATTTGTTCCCTCAGGATACTGGAGCCTATGTACACCATTTGTTTGGAATCAGGGTCTTTCAACTCCCCTAGGTGAACATTCTGTGTCCACCAACCGGGTTAAAGCTCCGGACATTCACTTTTCGTCCTCTTAATTTCGTAAACAACAGTAATGCCACGAGAAGGCAGTGAGTAGGACTTCCTTGGCAGAGGCTGTATATGTGTGGCCGTGTGAGAGCATTCCGAGAGTGGGCGGGTTCTCCCCACTCTCAGCCGACCAGGGCATTTGGGGGCTGAAGGAGTTAGAAAGGATTAACTTTAATAGTACACCTGTTACCCCTCGTGGAGAAGCATAGGCCGCCCAACACCCTACCTTAAGCGATGGATTCCCATCATGGGCGATAACATTTTAAAAGTAGGTCAGTCAGCTACAACGTAGGATCGGGCACATTTATTCATCGGTTCAAGTTGCCATACGTCGTTAGCACAACAAGACGAACAACGGATTCATAGAAGCAGTTAATTTAGTGGTGGTAATATATTTTAAAGTAAGGGGCGTACACATCTAAAATTACTTACGAAAAGACCATTTATATCCGGTCTCAAACACCTATCCTCCAGACTGATCACACTCCCAAGTCGTCAAGACCACCCCTAACCCAGTTTTCTCTCTTAGATGCATCGTGATGTATCTTCCAACGATGTGGGCAGACGGGCAGTGACAACTTTCATATCTGCAACAGCACTGCTGTGTTTTTGATGGGTTTTGCAAATCATCCAGTTTTATGGCGAATTTATGTAGTGTGGGCTATAAAAATTGGTTTATAGTTCCATTGTATTGTTGACAAAATCAATTTTTCATTACTTTCTATTTTTATATTTTCAATTAGTGCCGGTTTACTAACAGTGTTTTGTGGAGGTTTACCACGTCCCCAATTTGAGAATCGTTATGCAGTGTCTGTCTTACAGGATCATGAACATCATGTTTGTTATCAGTTTGGATCAAAGGTTATTGATTTCGTACTTGTACCGAGTGAAGGGAGTGTATCAAGTAAGGTTCTTCGTCTTTTTTCTTAAGAAATGTTTGAATCCCAAGTCACCCTATTACATAATCATTGTCGAATCATACGTCCACCGTCCATCTAGGATTTTGTGGAAGTTCATAATAATACTCAGTAACATTTAATACTATCTTGTAATGCAGGCTTTTTACAATAAATATTTTACATATTAAGTATAAGTCGAAAATAACTTGGCTACAGCTAGACAACACTATTTGATTTCTTTTTAAACATTCCACATTCATTTTTTTTCATTCCTTCCAGATGAAACGGTTTCAGGGGAAGTTGTGACTAAACCTTGTCCACCTAGTTATTCTGCTACATTATTAGTGCTTACTGAACGCGAACTTGTTGCTATTGATTTAACTCAACCCGATTGGCCTGTCTACGATTCACCATATTTAAATTGTATGGATTTCACTCCGGTTACAGCTATAACTCACATAGGACAGGTTTGTTGTGATATTGTTCTGTTATTGTGTCGTTTTCTTTCCCAGTATATTCTGAGATTGATTTTAGTTGTGTGTATGTAGATGTGACATATTTTTAAAAGTTCATGGGGCAGATTATCTTATATTATCTCAACTATATATTAATTCTCTAAAATACAAGTTGGTTGTTTAAATGTTTTCTAATTGATTTGGATGTGAGAATATTTCATCGAAATGTTGCTACATGCAGATTGAAATAAGTTGGTTACTTGTGTTGGTGAATACAATGCATCAGTTTTTATATGATGATTGGATAACAGTTTTCATATGATATATTTCAATGACATTGTTCTTTTGATGGTGATACTATATTTTATGTGTATTTTGACAAATTTGACGAAATATCCATATATTGTATCAGAATTCACACGTATTGTCCTACTAGTCTATGCTTTATTATTTATGTACTACTTAAATCTATGTAGAATACTCAGTTCAGGAATGAAAACATTGATGAACAAATAATTGTGCTATTTGAAGAGCTATGTAGTTAATGTGGTTAATTAACTTGGTTTTATTGGTAGTTTCATACGTTGCTTGTGCTTAGTAGTAGTATGATTTCCTAAAAAAATTGTATTTGCCTATCTAGGTTCCACCAGCCCTAATCCATCGGCTACACCAAGCTGCTCAGATAACTTCAGATGATATTACCAATTGTTCATGGCCGATATGGGGCGGGTCTCATAATAGTAACAAGAATTTTTCACAAAATCCTGGAAATGACGTTATTGTCCTTGGACATTCAAATGGATGGGTTACTTTATGGGCAATTGGTCGAGGAGATACTACAATTCATCTGGGAACTTTACCAACATCATCTTTGTTTAATTTAACTGATTTGCAAAATGGTCAGGTAGGCAATAAATCAATACCTACAGTTCTTATGATTTTCTTTTATCACAAAACTTAATATATACTAGTTCGCTTCCTATTTCAACCATAATTATTTTACAATTAGTCAAATTTCTTTGAAACCAGCATATTCCTACCAAAATATTAACAATTAATTTTTCCAAATTTGTACAGACATTGTTTCATCTTTTCTTATGGCTTTTCAGGATCATATACTTCTGCTATTTCTGTAAAGCAAATCAAAGATTATGTTCTAGTGAACATGTTAGTTGTGAAACTGGTTGAATTACATACATTGATGTGTATTTTGATTGTTCAGCTAGCTATGACTTGCGAATAACAAGCAAATCAATGTATTCAGTTTTGTTGTACATGCTGTAACTACATCATGATTTCTTGGGATAAGTATGGTTAAGTCCAGATAATAGTTCTGGAGTTTCTCATTTTGCATTATCACTTGTAAAATAATAGCGATCTACTCTCTTTATAGCCATGAAACGACCCATAAAATTAAAAGGCATGGATTAACCGGGATGGGATTAGCTAATTGATCATAAATGATTTCGGAGCATTACTCGGGTATAGTGGAGTAACGAAGTGAGGAGTGCCAGATAAAGATAATGAATAGGTTGGTTAAGCTGTGACTCTTGATGGACTTAAGTGACCAAAACATGTGTTACGTATGCCAAACCGCCACCTACCTCGATGCACAATGTTGATTGAAATTGGAATAAATTGGAAGGAAGTTGAGCACAATTAAATTCAGATGTTTTTCGAGTTTATATAATCCTTCACTGTGTAACTAAGCTGTGTTGTAAATCCAGATTACACGTTTGCCGTTGTTAGTACTTGGAAACGGGTAAAATGGTTCAGAACCAGTCACGGTGATGCAAATGCATTCACTCTTTATCTTTCCTTGTGTTCTTGATTTTCAATATCCCTTCACAGACATCTTTTTATTGTCTCTTTGAGAACCATATTCATAATGTTTAATCTTTCTTATTATCAATTATTTTTAATCACTTACTATTCATTTTGCTAATTTCATCTTGGTATACTAAGTTGGTTTTTGGAACTTCGTGTACACAAAGCTTTACCCAAGAACTAAAAAGCTAATTTGTTAGAACTTATCATAACTATAGCCTACGGTCAATGAGAGCTCCGGAAAGCATGATGTAAATTGTTGTTCGTTTAATACTTTTAAGACGTCGTTAGCAAAAGTTAAACATTTCTTGTTGTTAACATTTTATACTACTAACAGTAACGTTATTACTGTTATATCTACAAAATGATTGCTGGAATTTTATTTTTCAGAAGTGTGGGAATTCGATATTGGAAGAAGAAACGTGGCCACCCTTTCGTCCAGTTGGTTACTGTTCTCGAGCACAACGTCAATCTATCGAGAATTATGATCCACGCTTGGCTATTACACAATTACTTGTTCTACTGGGAAGCCCAATTCGATCAGGTGTTAGCGATTCAGTTGCACCGGATACATTGACACTCGTTGTGGGTGGTGCTGGTGGTCAAGTGAGCCTATGGGTTGCTGGTTCAGAAGGATTTTTGCATGCACCAGAACTTAGTTCTTTTGAGCCTGATGTATTCAGAATATGTGTTAACCTCATTGATCATTCAGATGAGAATAAATATGTTTGGAAAGATGCTTTATCTCTTCGAGTAAGTAGTCCATTTCATTTTTCTGATGTATGCCAGTGTTTAATGTAAGTGGATATTTGTTTAGATCCACTCAATGATTTTCGATCTTGTCCTACTGGTCATTTCATACTATGAACTTGTAAAACTCTAAAGGGTTACGTTTGTTTGTATTCAAGTGCTTGAGATGATAAAAAATTCGAGCTCATTTTTTTATCAAAAGCTTATATTTATTGCACAATTTCCTAACTAATATGAAATTTACCATTTATGAATGAAAGTTAATACTTTTAATGGTCAACCTTACACCGAATATGCACAAGTTTTCCTAAAACTTATGACCATTTGAGCTATCTATTGATACATCACTTGTGCGCATAGTTTAATGAGATAAAAAAATATTATTAGCTGTAAATGATTACTTTATTATTATTAATATTCACTTGGTATTGTATGCTTGAATCTTCCAATTGATGTTTATGACTTCAATTGGTCAGTCGGTGTAGGTACATCCAGCTGACGAGTCCCAAATAGGAAGAAGCGTGCGTCCTGGATTCCATTGTTAGCCACCATCCATTTTTGCTTATTAGTATTAATTATTAGCATGTCATTATTATAATATTACTACTTTAAGTTCGAAATCCCGTTTTTGTTATACTCTCAGTAAAAAGTAATTAGCTTGAAGCATTAGTGTGTTATCATTTTCTACTCAGTGTATAGTCATCGTACAAGAGGTACGCTGCATATTTCTCTTTCAATATATTTCCATTTTATTATACTAATGACAATGAAAATACACACTTCGGTATTATTCGTACATTAAATACCAGGGTTAAAGTGAAATCAACCATTGAATGGTTTTCTAAATCTTGTTACTGGTTCACCGATACTTTTCGACACCGATCAATATAAACCAATAAACTAGAGTGTGCTGACCATTTGTTTTTGTTCGTATTTGGGATATGCAATTCTGCTTAGGTTTAAAATTCAAGTCATTCTTACCACTAATATAAATTTCATTGTTCCGTGTTTTTCAGCCTTTTTTAAATTTACAATATTACATCACAATGAATTTCGTTGTGAATGTTTGTGATCAACATTTTATCGATATGTTGAGGTTTCTTTACAACACTTTTCATGGTTGTGATAACTTTAGTTTTCGTACAACATTTTTACCGTTCTAAATTTCAATACTAGTGAGTTGGATGAAAAATAGGACTAACAGGCAACCACTCCAACTTCATCAATATGATTCTTATCATTTATCCAATACATTGATATTCTTTTTATACTTGTCGAAAGATACAACATTATTTTGCAAATTTGATGACACATGCGATCTTTAATTTTGAAAGCATCTTTCGTCATTGTTCTCAATTAAATTACTATTTACTCACTTTGTTATTAGTGTTTTGTGTACGAATGCGTATATTTTTATCGTTTACAAAGGCGCTAGTTAGTTACTCACTGAATGTAGTACATTTGTTTAGTCCTACAACTGTATATTTATTTCATCGGAACTAATCACAAGTTATTGTCTACTGATTAAGATCACTTGTATAATTTGTTTTTTTTTTAAAAATTTCCAGCCTACCGAAGGTGTCCCTCATTATTGCACACCAACTGGACTAACATTTCATCCCTGTCAGCTTATTCAATTAAATCCACCTAGCCAGATTACATCTCTTGCATTGGAGTTGTCTTGGAATCTATTGGCCATTGGTTCTTCACACGGATTTGTTTTGTTAGACTTATTTGATCGTTCTATAATTCATGCTCATTTCACTTACGATTCATCAGGTCCTGCAAAGATGGTTAATGCTGTGGCTAGTAAGTTGATCGTACTGTGATCTAATGGTTTGTGTGATATGTTTGATGTCAGATAATTGCTACTTGTTAGCTCCTATTTCATTCATGTTTATTTTCAGCTGTACAAAATGTGATAATGGCTCGAGGAAGACAGCTTACATCAACAATGAGACAATCATTTAGACGTTTAAAACACTTCCGTACTTCAACAGCGAGCTCTGAGAAAATTTCGAGCGAACCTACTGCACCAGCTGATGAACAACAGACAACGCCGAAACAAACTGAACAGAGTGTTGACGAAACCTTACCTAAAGGTATGTTTTAACTGTTGTGTTACGTAGTATTTAAATATGTCAGTGTGACTACTTCCACATCCAACTGCACAAAATAAGTAGTAATTACGTCATGATTTTTTTCTCAGCAAAAGTTAGTGGTAGTTGAGTTGTTTAAGCGTTTGACTCCTAAACACTTAGTCACAGGTTTGGACCTCCATCTACTTCGATTTGTTCGACCTGTTAATATCATTAACTTAGCCACTTGGGGTGTGGTTCAAAGCCAAGTACACGAATCTGTACTTGGTAATTACGTTAACAATAATGATCATAATAATTGCGGTAAAACAATTTACTAGTGCATTCAGGTCAGTTATAATCTTCATTAGAATGTGACATTACTATGGTCGGTCCATGTTGCCGCAGCTTCTCTTAAGAGTTATGGTAAGTGGGATATCTAGATTTAATTTCTAATTAGCAAACATCGTTTCTAAAGTATGAATCAGTCAGTCTGTCAGCTACAATGTAGGACCAAGCACATATATACATCAGTCCAAGTTTCCACATATCATTATCACAACAAGATGAATACCAAATTCATAGAAGTAGTTACTTCAATAGCAGTAAGATGTAATAGAAAGATTGTGCATAAGGATATAATATAGGTAGAAAGAATCAGTTCGTAGAAAGAAAGGTATAAAGTAACCTTAATCTCATGGTTTAAGGAAAGACAAAGAGTGCATACACCGACACCATTGTGATCGATAAAGGTTTACAACCTCATCAACTGATTCACCATTATTCCCTAATACCCTGCATCTAACCTCACTATTACTTACCCAGTGATCCTAGTAGATGTGAGCAATAATTCTAAGACAGCTGTGATCGAATACTGGTAACTTACGAGTATCTTCTACTCTTAATGGCCATGTTTCACAGCCGTAGAGTAGAACAGAACGAACTACTGCACAGTATACCCATCCTTTTATTTATATATGGATATCTCGCCTTTGCCATAGGTGACGTAAGGTGGCAAAAGCCAAACGAGATTTTTGAATCCGTGCTGAGATTTCGTCAGACACCGACCCATTAGGACTGATCAGACTTCCAAGATAAGTGAAGTTGTCAATGCGTTCGACTACTTCACTCCCTATCCTTAGTTCAGGTGTTGATGCAGGCCAGTCCTGGAGCAACAACCTGTATTTAGAGGTGAAGAAACGCATCTCAAACATCCTAGTATTGTTGGTCAGTGCTACCAAAACACTGCATTTTATCAGCGTCATTTGACCTCTCAGAAGGAGATCAATTCCTGAATATCCAGTCAACGAGAACGTTATTTCCAGCACTAGGTCTATAATGAAATTAAACAGAAATGAAGATAGTGGTCAGCCTTGTTGGACACCACCTAAAGGTTTCAGAATCAGATGACAATTTGCCATAAACTCTGACTCGACTCCAGAACGAGCGGCGGTCTTCTATCCAGCCTCTCCAACGATGACTGATAGGAATATGCTCTATTTGAGTGTATCGTTGGTTTGGTCCAGGGGATCTCCATGTTAGACGATGTCTCTCCTTATGCTTAAAATTAGTGCTTGCTGAAAATAAACGATTGTCTGAACGCAGTTGCAGCAGACGATCACCATTATGTGTTCGCTGAGTTGGAATACTAAAATACCCACCTAGATGTCTTTCTGTTTGATTTAAGCTACCTACTTGGGCACTAAAGTCACCTGCTACGAGTACTATGTCCGAGCGTTTAACTTTGTGAAGAAGTTCAGAAAGCTTTCTGTAAAAGTCATCTTCTACTTTATCCGGGTCGCGTTCAGTGGAAGTGTAGGCAGAAATGACGAAAAGACAACGACGTGTGTCCTTATTCTTCCGAGTTCTTACGGACCCGTTTAGCAGAACAGCATATAGGCGACTGTTAACAAGGATTCATTCTAATAGTTCATGTTTTGCCCTCGTACTTAGTGCTATACCTACACCCTCCAGTCCACAAGAACTAGCCATCGGGCCGCCATATACACGGAGGGTATATCTTGTCGGTTCTCCGTTTTGGCGTGGTAAGGTCAAGTGAACGACCGCCTTAAGATATTGTATGTGTGTTTCGGAGATGTAGCATACATCAATGACACGAGATTATAGGGTTTTAGTCATGGAGGCCTGCTGGCCGATTGACATAAAGTGCTGCTGCTTTTGGTCTTACCGCTCATCAACCGACTTGTCTGGCATAATAGGACATAGGGTATAATAGGAACGATTGTTCCAGCCAGTATAGCTCGGTCGTTTCATCACGATAGGCATGCCCGACCACCACGTTGAGTTAGCGACGACGGTCGTGTGTGCGAATACTCTTATGTGTTACTTTTTTGTAGGGATTCATTGAGTTTTTTTTACCTTAATCTGTATTGATACTCTTGATCACACATACATAGTTTTACTAAGTTTCTTAGAGTTTGTTTTCTCATTTATCGTTATTTTACTTCACAAACTTTAAGCAGTTTCAAATCCATGTAAACGCATATTTGATTGAAATGTTACAATTTTTCTCAATTGTTTTATAGATGAAACTAAAGAAAAAGATCAGCCTGTTGAACCAAATGAAAAAAAAGAAATCCAAGAAAATGCTGAAGTTGTAGGCGTAACAGAGCAACCAACAACATCTGTGGAGTCTGAAGAATCGAAGCAGCAACCAATAACGGATAATGCTGAGGTTGATGTTCTCCCTGAACCTATTCAACTGAGTCAAGAGGATATAGTATCATCAGCTGTTCGTTGTCTCTTGTTTTCTGAAACATATATTCAAGCGGGAGACCGTGCTCCTTCTATCTGGGTTGGTACAGGTTCAGGTAAAGTGTTGGCTTTTAATTTGTCATGGAGAGGTACTGCTGGACCCGTTACGGCAACATTGTCCAAGGAATTACAATTACATCATCACTCTCCGATTGTTTCCTTGTATATCATCGATGCAGTTGATCATGGACCGATTATGCATAGCCAAGCTTACAGGTATGTAAATTGTACTCAGTAGCTGTTTCTATTATTTCCACTGTTAGACTTATTTCTATCTGCACTACTTTAACGTTTAATAATTTTCTATTTTCCACTTTTATTAAGGAATTCCTGCGTCGAATCAGGTGAAAGCAATGAAAAACAAGAATCTACTCAACCGTCTGAAACTCTTGCTGAAGTTCCGATGGATGGTGGTAAAGATACTGAAACACCTATACAACCAACATCAACTACACAGGATATACATCAATTACTTTTATGTTCTGAGGAACAAGTTAAGTTGTTCAGTATACCTTCACTTCGTCCACTTTATAAGCATAAATTCATTGATCGTCTTCGTATGCTTGGTATGTCAGTGACTTCCGGTGCTGGTTCAACTTCTAAACCAGAGAAGGAAGTAACCGAAGAAGCAGGAGATACAGTTGTCGGTGAGAGCGAGGTAAATAGTTTCTTCATTTCCGAGACTCCGTACACAATAGTCCAGAGTATTTATTGTTTTCTATTTTCTGATTTGTGATTTAATGTAACTCTTACCAGGTATATAGGTTAATGCATCGGTTTTTGTAAGGACGGGTGAACTCAATTTCAATTTTACTCAAAATTCTGATTCTGATATCAACATCTCCAGGAGATTGGAGACTGCATACAAACACAAGACACTTAGACTGGTCTTCTATCATTATCAATAATTTAAAACTCTCACACTCGCTATTTACTATGCAAGCATGTTGCACCCATTCATCGTCTCCAGCTTTTGCCAACTGGAGATATTGGTAACGAATATCGAACACTGTTCACCAAAGATTTGCGATAAAATTACGACCGTCTCACATTCTTGGTAGAATAAAGTGTAGCGTTCATGTTCAGCTATGTCAAGTTTTTGTAGTAGTACTCGGAGCTTTGCGGTATCACAAAACGTTTTCTCGTCTACTTCGAATGCTTCTTCCGAACATAGCTTCAGCGGGGGACTTTCCATCTAGGACAGTTGGGTTGGGCGTAGTTCTACAAACTGTTAAAAATTTTGTAATTACCTAACTTGTCCCATCGTCTCCCCCTTTCGCTAATGCTCTTTTAAATGTGTCATTGAAGCGCCCTGCCTGTCCACTTGATTGAGGTTGATAGGGCAGAGAGCGTATATATGTAATTCCACTAATGCTGCAGAAGTTCTTGAATTGTGGGTCGTTGTCGGTCACTAAAGTCTCCCGAACACCGAAACAACTGAATAATTCAGGTAACTTTTTAAATTGTTTCACTGGCTATGCAATTTGCCATAGCATAGATTTGTCGCCATTTCGTGAGTTTATTCACTATGACTAAAAGTGTTTTCCCTCGTACTAGACCTGCGAAATCTGCATGTAGCCTCTCCCAGGGACTATTAGGCTTTTTCCATTGTCGTGGTTCACAATTATTTGAACTTCTGACCGCTTTCAGACACGACAAACAATTGCGGCATCTGGTTTCGATATCTTGATCCATTATGGGCCAGTAAGCATAGCTTCGAGCCAACGATTTCATCAACATTCCATCCAATCATCTTTTGGAAGAACATTCCAGAATCTTGACATATAGCTTGCCGATTGCACAAATACTGAAAGCCATCGCCCGCGGATCGAATGAATGTAAAGATGACTTCGCTTTTACTAAAAGCTATAAATACCTGATAGTTTTGCACCATATTTGACACTGTTTGGAATTACATTCCTTCTCACTCGTCTTCTGTCTTCTCGCTTGCGACTTGGAGGGTTCCAGCGTTCGAGTGCTCAAGTATTACGCCGTATAGCAAGAATCTAAGCTCTAGATATAACAGTTTTTGAGCCATATTGGAAACAATATCACAATAACTATTATAATTTTGACTGATATTTATGAATAGGTTGTATATGTGAACACAAGTCAGATTAATCCCAAACGTGTGACAGCGTTCGGCCTTCAGAATTTTACTTCTGGATCTGGAGAAAATGCCAAACTTGAATGGAATGCTGTTGCAACGCTGCTGGATGGACAGATTGCTGTACTGTCCTTGCCTAACCTTCGTAAAGTATTCAAGGGTGAGTCCACTGGTTAGAACCTTTTTCACTCACTGGATATATTTATCAGCTGTATGATAATCATAGAAAAAGTAAGGAATTATTCGGTTGAGTACATTTTATGCAGTGGTAAAGCTACATGATTGTTGCAAAAGTCAACATAGATTCATCAGTTATCCTCAGTTGATTAATGTATTTTGGTTGTGGTGTGTTCTCTGAGCTGGTTAACTTACTTACGAAGTTATCATTATTGTTCTGGACATCATCGCATACTTCACTTGCTAATGAGCTGTTTAATTTATCCAAAGGTCATTAGAATAAATCAATCAACAAGCACAAAATAACACGTAAAGATAATAAAACCGTCGAACGTCCTCAGAACAAGCTGACCTAAAACTTGTGGAGTGATCAAAATGTTCACTTCTACTTGAAGTTTGCATTAATAATGTATAGAACAACAACGAAAATCTTGCGATTAAAATCATCCTCTAACTAAACAATCGAAAATATCGACTGGAGTTACAGATCTTTATGATTTTGGAGTGGTTAATGAAACTGTGTCATCTAAGATAGAACCTTTTTAATTCATTGAAGTCATTAATCAGTATAATTGAACCATTGTTTGGATATATTATAATTATCGTATACGTATTTTTCAGTTTATATTTGTTGAATTAAAGTTCATAAATATCGGTTTACCTAAAGTTTATAATAAATTCCCCTTTTTTTAGAACGCTGTTATTCTGGTTATCTACCTTCATCCACATTTCCTTGTGTTGCCACGCGTACATTTAACACACATGTCTTCTGGTCCATAGGATGTCGTCTTTTAGTATCCGAACTTAATCCTATTCCTTCGTTGAATTCATTTGCAGCACCAGTTAGTGATGTTATAACGGGTGATTTTATTGCAATCCATTTACCCGAATGGGCTAGAACGACTTATAAAGATGTACCAGTCGAAAATGAAAATTTAAAAATATCCAACCAGACAAACTTGGCTTCTGAACCTCTCCAGGTATCATTGTTTGCATATTATATAAGCATGTTCTTTTTCCTACCCTCTCGTCATACATTCATTAATTATTAATAATTATCAACATTCTTTATTTCAGAGTACTGAGAATATTACCACTCACGAGAAAACGAATGGTTGCGCACCTGTAGTAGAAGAGGAAATTATACCTACGAATAAGATGAACGATACTATACTAGAGAATGGTCAGAATATTGGTGATGTTACATTGGATTCTATCAAGGAATATTTGAATGGGTATATTTATTTAATGAATTATAAATCTGTTTTGTATTTATTTTCGCCTTAAAATGTTTATACTTATGATGTAAAATGTTCACTGGATTAGGATAAAGTTTGTGCATTATAACACTTGGTTATTTTGTTGTTCTTCAGCACTGATGTAACAATGGTTGTAAAAACAACTGAACTATCTACTGAAAAGCGTACTCTTGTAGAAGGTGGGAAAATTACAACTACCGTTCATGAAGTAGAGAAGGTTGATGGTAAAATTACAAAAGATGATGTTGTTAAGTTTGTCGCTGATGGTGAACCAGAGGTGGTGAGTATTACAGGTCAGTTATCATACAAAAGGTTAGCTCATTAATTTAATACTATTGATAGAATTAGAAAGTTGTGCTGTAGTATCACAGACTATAGCGATTGATAATGATGTTTTTGAAGTATTTTCTGTTTTCATATCCAGTATCTTGGTTTTATTAACAAATGATCATCAAAAGTTATATGTGGTGATCAATTGTACATTTAAATTCTGTCACATCGTTTAGACTGTTTATGATGTTTAAGTTTTGGAAATTTAATGGTTAGGTGTGAAGCCATTATCTATCCGTCACAGGCTTAGTGGTGTTGATAAGAGGTCAAGTGTTCTCACGCTATACCAGATATTCACGGTTTGAGCGATCGTGGTTACACTCTTAAGAAGTCCCACACTAGGACGAAACAACCATTCAGTGTTTTCAGTTATCGTCTAACTTAGTTCGTGGTTTAAACCATAGAAAGTTTTCTAAATGTTTCACTGCTGAGTTTTAAACTACTTGATTGTTTATACCGGGTTGTAATCTACTGTCTAGTTTATTGTTCAAACTTTGTCTGTCTATAAAATTTTATTTTAAAAAAAACGCATTTGGTAACTTACAGTTTGTGGAACTTTGTCCAGATTTAGTAAGTTTGTTAGCCAATTGCATATATTAATTATTTAAGACATTATTCAATGGAATTCCTCTGAATTTTGATAATTATCCAACAATTCTACTGTGTTGGCCATCGGGTTCACTTAGGAAACTAAAAATGTAAGACCGGTTTTGAATTTATGAATAGTGTGTTTGGAACCGATAAAGTATATACTTGTAAATATGAGTAGCGTTTAAGTAGATTATATTCACTTCTGACACTACACCAAAATAAAATAAATCCAAACCACTTGGTTGGGGTTCGCGTAATTATCGTAAGAAATAATAATGATTGAAGACGTTAGATCACTTGGTTAAGAATCAGTCGCAGTGATGCAAATGACATTTTTCTCTGTATCTCCTCAATCTGGAGTTTTAAAGTTAATTTAAACTTTACATTCTTCTCAAATCATATCTATACTGGATTTTTTCTTGTACTACCACCACTGATACGGTTATTATCTCAAACATTATTGTATTTGTTTCTCGATGTTTAATGTCCTACTCACTGCCTTCTCATGGCATTACTGTTGTTTACGAAATTGAGAGGACGAAAAGCGAATGCCCGGTGCTTTAACCGGGTTGGTGGACCAGGAAAGTTCATTTAGGGGAGTTGAAGGACCCTGATTTCAAACCAATGGTGCATATAGGCTCCAGTATCCTTAGGGAACAAATGGCGTATGAACCAATCGTTGTTCACCGGCTACCATGGGACTCCTTACGATGCTCCACTGCCTCGTAGATCAGGTACAAGGCTCGGGGTGTGGCCCTTTAAGGAAACCACCTGCTTCGGTTTGGGCTCCTGGGCAGTATCACAGCCCTCACACAAATCAAATGAGATTTGTGTGGTTCATATATATCTGGTGCCCTTTTGTACTAATATTTATGTTTTTAGTTAAATAACTAATGTGATGTAACAATTTGAAATTATTTTTCAAGTACGAAATTGTATATATCAGACTATTTTTTTCCAAAAAAGAAGATCCCACTAATCCAAACTTAAAATAAAAAAATGTTTTTCTCTCTGGATTTATATCCTAGTGTTCGCGTTTGTTATCTGATATTTTGATTGTTAATACCGAGTTGGTGTACGTTATTAATTTGGAACTTTTTTTCTTTTCTATTTTTCATTTTAGGCACTGTTTAACTAAGCAAGTTATCGGTTGATCACAATAGCCACTGGAGTATAATACTTTATCTTTGTCTAATTCAATTTAATATTGTTTACTATGTTATCATGACGTTATTTTACCATTACTGATTCTCATTTTCCTCTTCTGCTTAAATTGACTCGTCTTATGCCTATGTGTTTGTGTCCCGTGTACCTCGTGTTGGCTTTTTGTTTCATCCCTTCTCAACTATTGCTTCTCAACTAACTGATAGTGATGATGGTTCATAGTGCTTTTATGTCCTAATCGGTATTATTAACCGGTGGTCATTAATTTTTTGTTTCATTGCATGTTTTATTTTTGGTCTTTTGTGCCTTTATTTCTAATCAAAGAAACTTTTCTCTTCTTGCCTATCTTTGTCATTTGTTTGCTTTTTTTGGATTCCTCTTCTATATGTTGTTTCACAGTTTGATGTCTTCTCATCAACCGTATGAACCATTTCTCGTTTCTTTCTTGTTATTACTGACGTGTTTATACATTCACATACAATCATAAAACATAACTTGACAACCCATCTACTCTCGATTTTTGCTAGTCATAACTTCCGTGTTGTGTCATTGTATATCACATTTAACAAGTTTTTCAGCTTTGTGGTAGAAGTCTGTTCTAGGTCATGTGTTTGATGTGCTGACTGGTGTACGCTCAGTTGTCTTCAAATTTTTATTCTACCCTTTACGTATACTGCAAAAGTGAAAATTTCCATTCTTATTTTATCCTGTTGTTTTCCAAGTTGCGCAACATCTACATCTTTGTGTGTTTGTTTTGTCTACTCTGGTAACAATGTTTGTACATGTATACCAGCTCATATGCTCCTGTTTGTATAACTTGTTTTGTATACTGTTGACCATCATTAGCACTACTTTTGTATGCTCTATGCACATCATAATTATTTGTTTCGGTTTAACTAATCTCTTGATATAAAACAGTACACGTACATAGTCTACACGCAGTTATAATCACTCGCACATATATATGCTACATCAGATACTACTTACTACCTAATATGGTGCACATATACGCTTATGAATATGGCAAATACATGTCAACAGTAATAATAATCACCAACCTTAACTGTTTTTAAACAAAATTCACATGTTTTACAAGTTTCTGTTTTGTTTTGCTTCTTTTAATCGTTAAATGTTTCTCTCTTCTTTTTTATTATTTCACTCTAATCATGATAAGTTTCTAGCAAATGTAAACCGTATATATTCCTTTTATTGCCACTATTCAATATTACTATTATCTTATTGTTATTATAACTATATGCGAATAAACATTTTTCTGTCATATATGTGTTTATCGTTTTCAGGTCATTTGGGTATTTGCACAAGTAAATTGACTTGTAGGGTGTTTGACTTCTACATAAATGTTTAGCTCTATATTGAATTTAAACCATAGTTTTTGGAAGTCTGTCTGCTTGTCACTTGGACCCAATTAGCATGTACAGAAATATTGGCGCGAATTTTATTTTGTTTGTTTCAAGGAATTGCCCCTGAATTGATTTCATTTTATGCATTTCGATCACTGGAATAGGTAATTGACTGTCAATCTTTTTCGATGTAACACACGCATCGAAATAGTGTTCAACCATTTGTAAAATCTGTATACAATGAAGTCTGGTCATTCCTTTTGTGTTTGAATCTTCCTGTTATTTATGTTAAGGACTGCGATTGATCAGTTTCTTTTGGCTGTATGTACATCCCAAACCGGTTGCATCGATATTATTTTTAATACATAAGAGTTTTCCAGAAAAGTTGGATAGTGACCAGCATTGGAATCTGGTATGCGCTTTCCGACTTGTTTGAAACTCATTAGCTGGATGCACTTGCTTCAGTGTTCATATTCACTCGTGGACTCAAAACCAGAACTAGTTGGCAAGTTCTAAATAGATCGAAATGTTCATCTACAGTCCCACTGTTAACCATGACCTGTGTATAAGCTCATGATCGTTTGTAAAGTTTCTGTAGAAGTGTTGGCGACTTTCATACTAGTCTATATTTAGTTCCTTGTTATTTTAATAATTGTCAAAAGCTCATGTTAAAGTTTTTCTCAACGCTTGCATTGTTTGGTTTCGACGTACGAACTCTCCACATATACTAACACCTTTTCGATATAGCTATAGTACAAAATGTTTTATTTTCTTTAATGGGTTAGTCTTCTACTAAGTTGACTGTCCTAGATAATTAGAAATAATGTGTATTGATTCAATATGGTTTTATTTGTTATCGGAAAAGAGTTAATCTATCCCTAACGTTTTGTTTATTTTAGCTTAGTCATGTTTTTTTCTTATTGACTGATTGTTTATTCCGTTTTTTTTTCTAAGTTGAAATTTAATGATCCTGATAATGGACAATATGTACATAAAGGGAGAGTTCTATGGGAAACAATAGCCTAGATACTTATCTCAGGATCAATACATGTACATTTAGTTAAGATCCAATTATATTTGTTAAGTGTTCTGTACGTATGGTATTTATTTTGATTTCGTACTGAATGCCAGTTACTCAACAACTGACATGTATGTAGTATGAATTTTCATGCATTGTATATGCATCGTTATTATCTACCGGGGGACGATTTATTTACAGTACGTTTGACGTAAGTATTGGTCACAAGATTTTACTGGTTGGATTTATTAAAAGTTGATTGGGTATTATTGTGATATTGTACAGAAATCAATGATTGGTAGGTTTATCACGTGCATTTTAAGTTTATCACTAGGGGAATTTACTTCCAGTTGCCTACTGAGCTTGTATTTGACCGAAGAGAAGTATTTAAAATCATCTAATATGACAACTATTAGGTCAGAGTCTATAACGTATTTCATTATTATTATTTATTTATTTAAACACATATATATTGGTACAAAAGGGCACCAGGTACATATGCGCCACACAAAATAATTTGTGTGTGGGCTGTGATACTGCCCGGGTGCCCAAACCGAAACAGGTGGTTTTCTTAGGGGGCCACACCCCGAGCCTTGTACCTGAAGGTCTGATCCACAAGGCAGTGGAGCATCGTCAGGAGATGCAGTCCCATGGTAGCCGTTGACCAATGACAGGTTCGTTCGCCATTCGTTCCATCAGGATACTGGAGCCCATGTGCACCATTGGTTTGGAATCAGGGTTTTCCAACTCCCCTAGGTGGACCCTCCGTGTCCACCAACCCGGTTATAGCGCCGGACATTCGCTTTTCGTCCTCTCAATTTCGTAAACAACACCCCCGCCACGAGAAGGCAGTGAGTAGGACTTCCCTGGTAGAGGCTATATATTCGCGTGGCCATGTGAGAGCATTTCGAGAGGGAGAGTAGACTCTCCCCACTCTCGGCCTTACCAGGGCATTTGGAGACATAACGTATTTCAGGTTCTGAAAGCGTGTATCAATGATCTTCAATATTTTATATGGACCCGCTTTTACTTGTTGGATTTCAGTTTTATTATTCTTATGTAGAATGTGAAACTTCTCGACTAAGACGCCCCAAAATTCCTTGGTACTATGCAGACTGGTGGGGGGTGCTCTCACGGATCGCTTATATACGACCATGCGTTTATATTCTCTGCTTACCCACTACCACGACGGCATTGTATGGATTCGAGAGAATTAGCTTACTATTTGCACTAATATGTTCACAATATAAGTTACTTAGTATTAATCAATGTTCCACTAACCAGCCGTTAGTATGTGTGATCTGGTTGCGACAAGGTCACTGGTTCAGGACATTTAACACAACGGTATACATTGAAAATAGGTTGTTGGAGAGGATCGGTTAAATGTCTTGAACCTAATAACTTCTGAGAAACTTTAAATCGGATAAGATAACCCAAGTACTGAATGGTCTCTGATGATCTTTTAGTTATAATTCCCTTATCTAAAGTATAGTGAATTCATTTTTATTCATAACATTCTTCTTGACTACTTATAACATGAATGAATTCTGGTGATTTAGAGATCTTGATAAACGTTAACCAAACCAATACAAAATATGTTGAATTCTTTGTATTCTACACAGAAATTTGTGTTTTTAGTAAAATTAAGTAGTGGCTAGCAGCGTTTCACTCAATTTGATCTGGATATATCTGCATCCCAGTGTTGATGTTCACGTCGAAACTCAAACCCAGTACCTTTCGCTCCAAATATTTTACTTATTATCCACTAAGTTTCGTTAGTTACTAATTTGTATAACTGGAAAATTCAGAAATCGTTACAAGCAAAATTATTTTTTGTGACTTATTTAAATTTTCATTAAGGAAAACGATATATTGCCTGTTTGTAAAAATTGCTCCTTCAGTTAAAAATAAATCATTTTATGTAGTATCGAACTGTTTCTGAATTATCAGAATAGGGTTATGGAGATTTTTGAATTTCATTGAAATCGCAACCATTAAAAACCTGAAAATGGATGGCTATCTCATCCTAGTGTAATGCTCCTCAGTAGTGCTGATCTACGACCTTACATCGAACGCAGTACCTTCGACCTTACACACAATGTTTAACCTACAGATCATTGGTCTGTCATCCAATTTCAATCAAGCTGCAATATTGCTCAACCCTCATCAACTGCCTACTGTCTCACAATTGACTTGTTTGAAAACCATTGATCACTAAAAAATTTGTGCACGAAGCCAACGGTCCTGTATTCTATTTTGACTGTATTTTCAAATAAGTCTATATATCAGAAGGGGTTTTTGTGGATATTTAATAGTTGAGACCGTGGTCGATGTGTCGCTCATTTTCGTGGTTGTCGGCCGTCTCATTGGTCTAGAGGTTAGGCGCTCGCACGCGAGACTGATAGGTCCTGGGTTCGCTTCTCGCTAGGCGGGATCGTAAATGCGCACTACTAAGGAGTCACACAATAGGACGAAACGACCATCCAGTGCTATATATGTATGTCTATATAAAAAGCTATGAAATTAACTTCCTTTTGTAATTGCATTGATCATAACAAGATTATGGTATAATCTGGTCTAAATCCATTTAG